CATTTATATTAATATTAATAAAGAAATAAAATTTTAAACAGAGACTTCATGCTCTGTGACCCTCTATTTTTCTGTCAGATTTGGGTCAAAACAACTAAAGAGCTTAACAAATGCTAATGGATGCGGATAAGCACAGACACACACCCTACGCATGATTAAATGCACCTCGTTTCCTAAGAAATACAGGCTTAAAACAGTTAAAGTGAAGGTTGCTGCAGCAACCCTACACATTAACAAAGCTAAAAGCAAAGGTCATAGTTAAAATTAATTCCTTACTACAAGCTGTGGAAAGCAGGAGGTGGTGCTCACCACACTGATGCTCCCCAGCTTGGGAGTTGTTTTCCATTGCAAAGGTGTTTAAAGAAATCCCTCCTTTTCTCTGCACTAAAAATGATTTGAGAGCAGCCCAAGAAACCAAATTTTCAGATAATTAATGAAAATCGTCACATTAATCACAGTATTTTTCTGTTCAGTCCCTCTTTTGTTGGCACTCTCCATAGGAAGTTCTGGGAAAGGCATCCAAATAGCACCTACTGAGGCCAGGTGGAGGGGAAACGCTGTGTTCTCGCACCCTGAGAGCTGTGAATTGGGGGGGTTGTCTTAGGAAATGGCAGCGACACAAACACCTCTGGTTCAGTGGTTTGCACTGATCTCTGCCCCTTCCGGGGTGTGCTGCCCATCCACTGCTGCCTGCCAAGGACTGTGTTCTATAGATAATACAGCCGTTGTACTTCCTACCTCACTTTGAGATAGAGCTAGGACATATTTAGCTCCAGTACGTGTTGGTCTAAATATACACAAATCATACATAAAAAAGCCTGCAATCTGGCCTACCTAATGCCTACATTAGCACACTGGTGTAGCTGGAAAAAGCACACAAATCCTGCTTGAAAATGGAAATAGCAGCAGCAGACTTGGAGTTTTCTTCCTGGGAAAGGCTGGAAGAGACCAACGAGAACAGTGAGGAAGGAGAACTTCCAGTCAGGAGGTGTGAGAGGGTTGGAGGGGCTCTGAGGAGTTTCCCACCAGCACCAGGCTGGAGTCACCACTAGGTAAGAGAAAAACCTGGCTTGTTGCAGGCTGTTGTGGGTCTGGATGCCAAAGTCATGGTTGAAGAAAGGAGCAGGGCTGGAAGACCAGAGCAAGGGAGCCCCAAGCTGACTTGGGAAACCAGGTCAGAAAACCAGGCTTGTGCTAGAACTGAGCTTAACCCAGGTGCTCAGACAGGACCAGGGCGATAGCCATGGCCAGGATGGATCAACCAGCCCTTGGGGAGTCTTGGCACAGCCCCCGTTTTACGTCTATCGTGAGGTTCTTCTTGGGGGCTGAGCTTGCAGCGACCCACCAGCTCAACCAGAACTGCAGCCCCAGCTCTCCAGGCAAACCTTGACCCTCCAACAGCATGGAGGTGGCCCACAGACCTCTGCTAACCCTCTGCCCTCTATCCCCACAGGTCCCCAGTGCAACGCCTCGGTAGACCTGATCGGCACGTGCTGGCCCCGCAGCGCGGGGGGACAGTTGGTAGCTCGACCCTGCCCTGAATACTTCTACGGCGTGCGGTACAACACCACCAGTAAGATGAGCAGCACTGCTGGGACGTGGTGGATGAGGGCTGGGGATGTGCGTCAGCCCCATGTGCAGCAGAGGTTGTGGGGCACGAGTGACAATGCGCCTCTGGGTACAGAGCTCACTGGGGTCTCTGTGGGATCCGTCAACTAAAACATCACAGCACCCTCGTAACCCTAATTTCAGGGAAGATGGTTTCGCAGAAGCAGCTTTATAAGCAGGTCCTCCTAGACATGCTCCTGTGAAGGGGGAGGATGCTGTCTCCATCTTGGGCATGTGGAATCATAGAATCCCAGACTGGTTTGGGTTGAAGGGGCCTTAAGATTATCCAGCTCCAACCCTTGCCACGGGCAGGGACGCCTTCCACTGGAGCAGGTTGCTCCAAGCCCCTGTGTCCAACCTGGCCTTGGACACTGCCAGGGATGGGGCAGCCACAGCTTCCCTGGCCAAAGGGGAAGAGGAGCGAGTCTGCCCTGCTGTTGGAGGTGGCACAGAGGTCTGCAACCATTCCCAGCTCTGTCCCGTCCCATTGTCCTGACGAGGCTCAGGCTCTCTCCTGTTAATGCACTGCTGGCATCACCCCACTGCTGATGCTAATCAGACTTGCAACCAAAGCAGCATCTGAGCTGGCTTCAAAGCCAGGGGCCTCGATGCCATGACCCCTGCACTAGTGACAATCATCAGGTCACATCTTTGTACCCAGCCCCATGCACCCTTAACCCTTCAATGGCACCTTCTCTTTCAGACAATGGCTACAGGGAATGCCTCGCTAACGGGAGCTGGGCAGCACGGGTCAACTATTCCCAGTGCCAGGAGATCCTCAGTGAAGAGGTAGGACCTTGGTAGTCCCTCAGCTGGGCTCTCAGCAGGAGAGTGAGGGACAGACAATGGGGTTTTGAAAGGCAACAGCATCCACATCAGGAACAGCCCAAAGAACTGGGGGCTGGGTGTGCGGCAGCATCCCAGATAGAGGGTTGCAACCCCATCCCTCCCAGCTGGCAATGAAGTAAAGGTGTTTAGGAAGCTGGAAGGGATAAAATAGATGATGACCAAGGATTACAAGCCCCTGAGTAGGTCAAGCCACCCCTCAGAGCAGAGGAGAAGAGATACAGGCCGTTCGTTTGCAGTTGATCACCTCTGGTATTTAAGACGTTGATAGCTCTTGTCAGGAATGGTTTTCTCACCGAGTTAATTGCTAATTCCCAGGCTGGATGAGTGCCTGACAGTGGGAGCAATCCACTAATCTCATTATCACTCACACCTTCCTGCTCCCTCTGCCCAAATTCATCCCAGCCTCTCGTACCCCCAGGGCAAAGGGGAATGAACTCAGACATCAGATGTCACGTTGCTGCTGAGCTCGCCTGAATTACAGCACCATTTCCCCAGATGATGGGCTGGGGATGTCCCAGCACTGAGCAGGCAGAATGTAGGGGCAGTGACCATGAGCTTCCCTGGCATGGGCAGGATGTGAAACACCCGAGTCCTGCGCGGGGCCAGGCTGGTGCCTCTCGTGTCCATGTCAGCCCCATCCAACCAGCCCCTTCTCCACTGTCCTGCACCTGGTTGGCTCCAGCTTCTTTCTGAGAAGGGGCCCAGGACGTGTGGTGCAGTTCTCAGAGGTGCTGTGTCGGAGGAGGTGGGTTTGTGGTGGTACCCGGGGCTGCTGCTGACCCACTCGCCATCTCCCCCCACCAGAAGAAGAGCAAGCTGCACTACCACATCGCTGTCATCATCAACTACCTGGGGCACTGTGTCTCGCTGGGGGCCCTACTCATGGCCTTCATCCTCTTCATGCGCCTACGGTGAGTGGCCCGACCTGCTGCCACGTCCCATGATGGGGGGATGAGCCCAGAGAGGTCACCCTTGGGCTGGGGATGGACACATCCGCTGTGTTTTGCCATGTCCTCTCCCATGGCCATTGCTCTCCAGTCTGGAGGGATCATGCCTATCCTGGGGTTATGTTCCCCCTCCTGCCTTTTTAAAGCACTCAGTTATGGAGGTATCCTTGGTGCCTTCCACTTCTGGACCTTGGTCCTACCCGCCTCAACCCAGAGCATGGTCCCAGCAGCTCATCCTTGGTCTCCCAACAGTCATTCAGCTGCACAAACAGCCCTGACCCCCCACCCCAAACACCCACCACATTCTGATGCGTGTCCCCTCTTCTCCAGGAGCATCCGGTGCCTGAGGAACATCATCCACTGGAACCTGATCACAGCCTTCATCCTGCGCAACGCCACGTGGTTCGTGGTGCAGCTCACGATGAACCCAGAGGTGCACGAGAGCAATGTGGTAGGTGCAGCTCAGGGGGGCAGCCAGTGTGAGCCCAGCCCTGTGCAGCTGGGGAGGGATGTGGAGCCTTAGGATCCTAAAGATGAGGCTTGAGGGTCCAAATGGAGCTGCCTGGTGGCTGGAGGTTCAGCTGCTCTGCTGTGGTCTGTGCTGCTCTGTGATCGGTGTTATCACTGTAACACAGAGCTCTGCTCTTTACCCTCCCTGTCTCCTCTGAACCCCGCTGGCAGGTCTGGTGCCGCTTGGTCACTGCCGCCTACAATTACTTCCATGTCACCAACTTCTTCTGGATGTTTGGAGAGGGATGTTACCTGCACACGGCCATCGTGCTCACCTACTCCACGGACAAGCTCCGCAAATGGATGTTCATCTGCATCGGCTGGTGTAAGTACCAGGATTCACCCCCAGCGATGCCCACCTCTATCCTCCAGCTCTTCTTGCACCCAAAGAGCTGCAAAAAGGCTGCCAGGAGCAGAAGGATGGGATTTGCATGGCCACAGCATCTCACCCTGTGTGAGAACATCCCTGTTAGAGCAGGATTTCGTGGCAATGCTGCACCCCTGAGACTCATCTGTGTGCTCCTCTGCAGGTATCCCCTTCCCCATCATCGTCGCTTGGGCCGTTGGGAAGCTGTACTACGACAATGAGAAGTGAGTCTGATTGATTGCTCTCATTCCCCATTCTCTTTTCTATCCCAATTGCCCAGCGGCTGTGGCAGGCATGGATCCTGCCTGGAAGGGCTGACATGAAGCAGGGTACACGGAAAGGGTGGGAGGGAAAAAGGATGATAGTCTTCTTTCTTTCATCACACCTTCAGGCTCTCTGCCACATGAGCTCTGCCTGGTGCTGCATTTTATTCTTCAAAGGGCAAATGAGATTTTTCAGGGGGAAAAGGCAAGATTGAGCCAGGGCTCCTACAATGTGTTTGCTAAATGGAGCTGGGATTTAATCTACCAGCAGAGATAGAAACTACCACCACCTGAGCCGTTTTCTCTGACACCTGCTAATGGAAGTCTTAACAGGCACCTGAGAGTTCATCACTGGGTTTAACTGGGAAGTTAAAGGAGCCCATGGAAATGAATGGCAGCCTGCCTTGATTTTCAGTGCTGGTTTTCCCCCTGACTTCTGGAGCCTTGTGCTGCACACGCAGGCACAGCACTGATGTAATAAATCCCAACAAGGTGCTCCCAGGACATGGGTTCACCTGCAGGAGCTTCCCCAGGGATTGCTGGGGACAGAGCCCACCTGGACCTGTGCATGGGTAAGGTTGTCCCTGCTTCTCCTACAATAGCCAGTTTCTACCTCCATATGGGGCCCAAAAACACCTTCACAACCCCCCTTTGGGGGGAAGCTATTCCATAGTGGCTACAGCAGTTTACATTGTGCTTTCACCCTGTAGTGACTTACAGAGATTGTGTGAATCCAGGTCACTCGCACTGCTGGCTCGTCCCCAACACCGCTTGTCCTTGCCTTGCAGGTGCTGGTTTGGGAAGAGAGCAGGTGTTTATACTGACTATATTTACCAAGGCCCTATGATTCTGGTGCTTCTGGTAAGAGCAAAGTGACCTTGCTTGCTAAATAGAGGGTCCTTCCCATCTGCGTGTGGGATAAGGCTGTTCATGAGTAGGGTCTTGCTGCAGCTGGACCTGCAATCCCAGCTCCCCTCACCCAAACTGCACTTTGAGCAAGTTTGGGCACCTAGCCCACAATAGGAAACAGCATGCACGAATCCTGCCGGCATGGGATGGGCTGGAAAGGGAGCCTGGAGACCTCACTCTGATAGGGATGCATCAGCAGACTCCCACGTGCATCACTAAGTCCCTCCTGGAAACATCCCTGCCCTGGCACTGTTTGGGTGCAGGTGGGTGCTTTGCCAGGCACTTCATTCCTTGATCCACATCACTTTTCTCCTGGCCCTTGGCTGAGCAGCAATGCTTGAACCAGGGGTCAGATGGAGCATAATTGCTGGGGCTTTGCCCTTTTGGGAAGGGACAATGAAAAGCAGTGTTGGCAGGTCACAAGCAGCAGTGCCAGGGGTCCAACCTGCACTCGCAGGTGGAAAGATGTGCACGAAGCCCCACAACTTTTCCTCCCAATGCTGAGAAAACCCAAGGGAGCATTAATCAGCAGCTCCAACCAGCCTCAGTGAATAATTGAGCCTGCTCCTCATTTCCCAGCCCATCAGGTATCAGGCCACCTCTAATGTGTGGCAATTGAGCTCAGCTCCCAGTGCCACCTTCCCGTGCCCTCATTAGCAGGTCAGCAGCCAGGAGAGCATCCAAGCAGCTCCTTGCTGTGACAGCAGCTACTCTCCCCAAACCCCTTCAGCTGCATATATTCCTCCTCCACACGTTTTCTCCTTCAGCCCTTTCTTTAACACTTGCCCTTCCTCACCAGTCTCCTGGTATACCCTGCTGCCTTCAACAAACCCCTAAACCTTAGTGCTAAGGTGCTCTAAACCCAACAAGTGCATGGAAAGCAGTAGATGAGGTGCAAGAGGAAACATTCCCATTTCCCCTGGCACAGACCATTGCCTCTGCTGAGGAATGGGGAGGAAACTTTGGGGGAGCAGACACAAGCCGGGTGCCCTTTTCCTTTCAGATCAACTTCATCTTTCTGTTCAACATCGTCCGAATCCTCATGACGAAGCTCCGAGCTTCAACTACGTCGGAGACGATCCAGTACAGGTACGAGCATTGGTGAGCCTGCAGAAAACAGACCCATGCGTTAGCATGATTGGGGGGGTACAGGAGCAGCCTCATCAAGTATCAAGGGGATGGGAGGATGGAGAGACACCTAAGAGCACCTCAAATGCTTTTTGGAGGCACAAGGCCACTGCATCTGGGGTTGTTCAGAAGTCCTGGCCAGTGATGGAGAACACAGATGACTGTATCTGCCTTTGGGAGCTGTTGGAAGCAGAGTCTCTGTGCAAAACCCTGTTCTGGAGGGACCTGATCAGGTCACCAGGTTCAGAGCTGCAAATCCTGGCATGGAGGTGAGAATTAAATCACAGCTTGATGGCAAAGCAGAGACAGAGGAAGGAGCAATGAATTGATGTCAGCCCAAACACCTCACGAAGCAGTGAGGAGAAAGCAGTGCTCTTGGCAGCAAGATTTAACCCTTCTCTGCTCTGGAATATTTTGTAGACAACTTGGGAGATGTCTGGTCAGAGCAGCTCTCCAAAGTACCCAAAATGGGAGCAGACACCTTGGTCTTCATCAGTGCTTCTCTCATTTTTGAGGCAGGAATCGGGGAATCTCCCTGTGTGCTGGGTCAAGAGAAGCAGGTTTGGGGCGGAGGGTAGCTTTTTTGGCTGAGAATGGAAAAATCCAGATGCAATCACTGGGGAAAAGCCAACTTTCCTCATCATGGAGTGTTGAGCTGGGACGAATGATTCAGCAAAGATAAAGGTTATTGAAATAGGCTGCTTGGCCTCAGGGGACTCCTGCTCACCTTAGATGATGATGGCTTTTGGTAAAACGCTGATGGATCCCCTGCTCCCACGGCTGCTCCCCTGGAGAAGCTGCACCAGAGCATGTGGTGGCCCACAGTTTGCCAGCCTGAGGATGCTCGTGCCCTGGGTTACGCCAGCTCCTCTGTGCCATCCGCCAGTTTAAATCAGTGGCTGTGGTTCTCCTCCAGGTCCGTGATGCAGGACAGGTCCCAGGCCCTGCCCAGCCCTGCCAGGGTGACTTTCCTGCATTCAGCTGAGGTTGGAATCTGTCCATTAACAGGACCTTTAAGCAAAAGGTTGACTCAGCGTTTTCTGGTTCCCTAATCCAAGCGGATGAGATGCCAAGCTCCGATCCATCCCACGCTCTCTTGTATCAGCACTGTGGCTTTTCAGAAACCACACTTGTAACCTCATTAAGAAAAGACATCCAATTAATTAGCTCAGTTTTCTCGTAAACTCATGTTGAAGTGTGTATTTTACCCTCTTTAATTCCTTTTTAATCAAGCCTCAGAGCAGCCAAGCAACCATTTCACGCCAGCTCAAGGTCAGGCCTCCTCTCTGCACTGCCCTTTCCTGGATGGAGAAACCACAGAAGGTGCCTGCCCAGTGCTCAAACCAGCTCAGGTCACTTGGGGATCACATTAGAAAACAGCTCAACCCTGCTCCATCCTCCCCAGACCCAGCCAGACCAGTCTCAACCCTGCCGGTGCTGGGAGTGCGATGGGGAGGGTCTTTGTTCCTAGGGCTGTGCTGCAGCAGCTCAGGTCCATGTTATCCCGCCAGGAAAGCAGTCAAGGCCACACTGGTGCTGCTGCCCTTGCTGGGAATCACCTACATGCTGTTCTTCGTCAACCCGGGGGAGGACGAGATCTCCAGGATCGTCTTCATCTACTTCAACTCCTTTCTGGAGTCCTTCCAGGTATGGTCCCCAGTCCCCCACTAAGGGATGCGAAGGACCACATCCTGGCTGATGCCTCACCCCACTTCTACCACCTCCCAAAACCCCAAAACCCGGGAGTTGCTCCAAAGCTCCTGAGCCTGGGAGTGCCCACTGGCCACAGCTCCACAGTGACTCTATTGCTTGTCTCCTTCCAGGGCTTCTTCGTCTCTGTCTTCTACTGCTTCTTGAACAGCGAGGTGAGCACAGGGGCTGGGGGTGTTCAGGGGGGTCTACACTGTTCCTTGTGAGCAGACACACGTGGGTACCTGGCACATGGACAACAGCACTTCCTGGGCTCTGACCCAAAACACAGACAGCAGAAAGCAGGAGGTGAGGATAGAGGTTGATCCTGAGGCTGATCCTGAGCTCTTTCCTCTGCTTCCTCCTAAATGCTCTTGTACCTTTGCTGGTTCAGGAGAGTCTGCTCCAGACAAGCTTGCTTTGTTACCAAATCATGTATAATTGATGCAGGAGAAGGAGGGACAGGACCAGGGCTATCTGGCGACCCAGGAGCATATCACACCATGCAATTCATGGTCCTTCATCTCTCAGTCCCAGCTGGGCTGGCTGGGGATTTCAGTGTTCACCCAACCCACTGTCTCAGCTGCCTGTGTCCAGTGCCTGTTACCCAGGGCCACCCCAAGCAGCAGTCAATGAAAAGGCATTTCCTCACTATTTACCTGCCAAACACAGCACTCTGGCTGTTGGAGGGTGGAATCGATGCTGGAGAAATGCCACTAGCATGAGCTAAACAAGCCATAAAACCTCCCCGACCGTCGCTCACATCTCTCCCAGGCCCTTGCAGCATCCGATGCGGCACCTAAGAGGATGCAGAGCCCCTGCTCAGATTTCTTTCTCCCTCTTGTTTCAGTTTTGAGCTCAGAGGCACCATTGTTCAGGTTCATCTCTTGTCATAGCTGCAAGGGCTGCTTTCCACCAGCGTCGCATCAAACAAGGCTGGGTGCCTTGGGAGGTGACGGGGCTCCCATGGGCCTCCCTGCCTCTGGGGACCGGAGCAGGGTTTCGGTAGCATTTTCATACAATCAGCCAGGTTGGAAAAGACCTTTCAGCTCAGCAGGTCCAACCATTCCCAGCAGTGCCAAGGCCACCACTAACCCCTGGCACTGAGGGTGTTGTCTACACGGGCTGTGAACACTTGCAGGGACGGTGACTCCAGCCCTGCCCTGGGCAGCCTGTTCCAATGCCTGAGCACCCTCTGGGCAAGGAATTGTTCCCAATCTCCATCTAAACCTTCCTTGGGGCAGCTTGAGGCCAGTTCCTCTTGTCCTATCCCTTGTTCCTTGGGAGCAGAGACCAGCCCCCTCCTGGCTCCATCCTCCTGTCAGGCAGTTGCAGAGAGTGATCAGGTCCCCCCTGAGCCTTCTCTTCTCCACACTAAACCCCCCAGGTCCCTCAGCCCTTCCCCATCACACTTTGGTTCAAAGACTAAGGATGATGGTGCCCAGGCAGCTGTTGGTGGTTGACTGTCCCCTCCTGTGGCTCATCTCCCCAGGTCCGATCAGCTGTACGGAAGCGGTGGCACCGGTGGCAGGACAAGCACTCCCTGCGTGCGCACGTGGCTCGGGCCATGTCCATCCCCACCTCCCCAACCCGCGTCAGCTTCCACAGCATCAAGCAGTCCACGGCTGTCTGAGCCAGGAGCGAGGTGCCGCACAGGATGGGGAGCCGGTGTCCCCGCTGCGAGGGACCCTGCGGTGGCGCAGCGCAGGAGCCGGGTCCTGCTGCACCCACTGCGGCAGAGGGTGCACAGACACTCGCTATGGGAACCCTGCAGAGGTTCCTGTCCCACTCACGGGGGCAGAGCTGTAGGATGGGATGGGATGGTTGGGATGCTGCTCTGTCACCTCCCGGGCAGCGGTGTGACCTGCCGGGTGGCAGAAGGAGCCGGAGGAGCCTGGAGGGGTTGCAGCATCCATCCTGGGCACACGGCCCCATGTCCCATCGTTGTCACAGCTTTGAGGTGACAGGACACCAGGACCTTGTTGGGACAGTTTATTAGGCTAATCCCTTGGGAAGCTGGGTCAGCCTGCCAGTGAGTGCATGCTGGGATGCTGTTAGGAAGGGGCATAACCCTCTGGGGGGAGTTAAAAGCCCTCTGGGTTGACATGGGATGGATGGAGAGCCCTGGATGGATTGAAGATGTCGCTTTATGTGGCTGTGGTTTTGTACCACTGGGGTTATTTGAGCCCTTCTCCTGCCCCTTGCTACATCCCCAGGGTGTCCTGTAACTGCCGCTTGGTCTGACCAGGTCATTTCTCATCTCAACACCAAGGATCTGAGGCAGAGCAGTGGGGTGGGAGAGGGGAGGGAATCATGCAGGGGGCAGGGATGGGTGCCAGGGTCTCTCAACAGCCACATGGAGGTGGTTAGATCTGAAGGGAGGCGTGAGGTTTAGTTTCTCCTTTGGCCCAGCCTAGCCAGATGGATCTGTTGGTCTTCACAAAGCCCCTGGACCTCAGGCTGACCCTGTGCCCCTGCCTGGAGGGTGGAAAAAAGGGGGAGCGCTGCAGTGAAGAGGTGCCTGAGCTCCCCAAAGGCAGCTACCACAGGGACATGGCCTTGCTCCCCTCCTCCCTGCCCTGCTCCCACCATGCTCAGTGCCAAAGCTGCTCCTTGCTCTCATGCAGGGGATGGGGCCAAATCATTCCTGCGCAGGGTTAAGTGCCTTGGAGGAGCAGCAGCCTCCCTCCCCATGCTGGGGACATCACATCATCTCCCGTGCAGCTGCCAAGTCCCCCATGTCCTGTTCCATGTGGTCACCGACAGCAGCTGAGCAGAGAGGTCCATGTGAGGCAGAGGGGTTTGCTCTGACCTCCTTGGAGCCACACGAGGTCTGGGCATGCTCGGGCAGGAGGAGGATGCCAGAGGGGTTATGGACCGAATCTGCTCTCTGCATCCAGGGATGTCGCCACTGGGGCCCTACAGGGTCTGGTACAAATCCCTTCACGTTCCTGTGCCTCAGTTTCCCTGCTATAGAGAACAGGCATGAGTATTTCCTGCCCTGGGGAGATTTAAGCATTCGGAAATCGCAGTACTCGGATTTCCTCAGGATACACCACCAGAAAGGAATAAAATCTTTCTTTTTTTAAAGGAGGCGTAGACAAAACCCTCCAAGTTCCCTCTTTTAGCACTTCAGAAGCTCAATAGTTTGTAGCAAATTCCTCCCATTTCCCTCCCACTGAGATTTCCTCCCTGCATGTCAACGGTGCAGCCAAAGCCAGAACCACCCCATCGCCTCTGTTAACATGCTGGGAGCTGCAACAGCTCCGAGTATGACACAGTGACCACCACAAGGACCATCCCCTGCACACAGGACAGGTTTTGGTCCTTGTACAAGCTCATCCATCACCAAGAGTCCCAAAACTGCCCCTTATTCAACATATGGGTGAGAAAAAGACCCCCAGAGTTATTCAATGGGAAAACTGGGAGCTCCCACTGATGCTCTATGAGGATTAGACTTGTGTGTCCCCACTTTGGGCCAGTTTGGAAGGAGCTCATAAAGATCTGCTGGCTACAGAGGAGGGGAAATGCCCCAGGGAGCTTGTTTTCATCATCTATACAAGTGATGTTACCAAAAAAGTGATGCGCTTCATGTTCAATTTGGACTATACTAAAGCGGGGTCATTTTGGGTGGAAAAGAAGATGGAAATTGCAAAACCAAAGAAAGAAATTCAAACAGAAGCATCTGTGTTCACATCACTGTTGTTTCCTCCTCCCGTTGGTGGTCTCTTCTGACTGACATGACTTTGCTTTCTGTGGCTGGAGAAGTGTGTGTATTCTCAGCCTTGTTTGATTAAAATTACTTCCATTCCTCTCAAAAGGGCTTTTGGGGCATGTTTATCATTTGGTAAAGACAACCCCAGCATGGGCTCTCCCCACTTCCCATGGGAGCATCTCCACGCTGCAGTGGCATCAGCATCCTACTGGCCAGAGGCCCTGGGGTCAGCTGGTGGCTTTTTGTCTCCTCTCTACCCCAAGTCCACATGCCCATAGCACGAAGGTGGGCTACAGGCCTCCGTGAAGGTACCAACCATCTCCTCTAAAGGGGGGTGAGGAGCTCGCCCCATGGGTCTGCCATTCAAGCATCATCAGGGCTAGAGAAGCTCCTCCGTTTCCCATGGTGCTCCCTCTCGCCAGCTGAGCTAAGGCAGAATAGAGCCGTAACGTGCTTCCCAGCAGGAGGGAGGGCCAATTAAACTCGAATTTCATTTCATCCATCAATGTTTACGAGGGCAATTCAGACACAAACATCTTTCTGGTCAAGCTCTTCCGCTGCAGAATTAATTTGTTCATCACACAGAGCCTTGGAGAGCGCTGTAATTTGGTAAGCACCATGCACATAAATAATAATTACAGGTTCCTGCTGTGCTTCCCAGCAGGAGGGAGGGCCAATTAAACTCGAATTTCATTTCATCCATCAATGTTTACGAGGGCAATTCAGACACAAACATCTTTCTGGTCAAGCTCTTCCGCTGCAGAATTAATTTGTTCATCACACAGAGCCTTGGAGAGCGCTGTAATTTGGTAAGCACCATGCACATAAATAATAATTACAGGTTCCTGCTGACTGAGATTAATGACCTACCGAGCCTGTGCTCTCGATGATGTTGTAGCCTCTTGAGATAACTCCACATCAACCCTTGATGTCACTGGGGTTGGGAGAGGCAAAGTGGGACCTTGTGGATGGGGTATCCCAGGCTGGGAGCGAGGCAGGCTCACAGGAGCCTCTCCAGCACACACAGATGAATTTGCTTTAGCTTCTTTATTTGACCAGCACATGAAACCCATCATGGAGCTGCTCCCCAGCCTCAGTTCTACCACCCAGGGTCAAAACTTGGGGGTCCTGGCTGCCCTGTGTTACATCCCAAGCAAACCAAGAGCCAACAAAGGGGCAAACCTGCCATCCAGAGCCTGAATGGAGGAAGAGGAAAGCTCATGAGGTGATTCTCTATGGAGGATCTGAGCTTTCATCTCACCTCTCAGCCAGGCAAACATCCTGCCACAGGCACGATGCACTGGCCGTCAGATGGAGAGTTTATAGCTTTAAAGCCAAGCTGGACCATCATTCCCCTTCCTCCATCCTGGCTCAGACACAGCACTTCTGTCCACAGCTTTGGGCCATTCCTGTATGTTTAACCCTGTTTGCAACTTCCCAGGCTGGAAGGGGTAGGAGGTGGGAAGGGAGAGGAGATCTGGTGGTGGTTTATAGGCTCATTTGTGGCTTTCAGCACTGTCCACCCCAAGATGCCTCTTGCTTGAGATGTGTTGCCCTTCCAGCACTGCCAACCCCCCCCAACTATTACATCCCGTAATTCCAATGCCCTCTGTCGCGCTGCTCCCTCCCGCTGACATTTGTCACTGCAGGCACAGTTAAATGGCTTTTCTCCTCTCCTGGCAGCAGGAGACAGGAAGCTCCCTGCTACTCTCATGACATTTTCAAAAAGGGCTGGATTTTTCCAGCTTGGAGGAAATCTATAGATCAGAGATGCAAGTGCAGCTCATGGGTTCCACTGGGGAGCCTCTCTGTTCAGCCCTGGAGAAAAGACTTCTTTGGTTGCTCCCTGGGGAGCTGTGCCAAAGACAGCAGAGGTGTGTGCATCTCACCATGTGCTGGAGACGAGTGTCTGCAAGGAACAGCGATGGGTTGCTCGCATGGCCAAGAGTCACTGCTGCCCATAGCCCTCCTCCCAGCTGGAGCCCTCAGTGATGCCCCCATGGGGATGTGCAACAAGGATTGTCCAGCTTTTCCAGGTTTGTTTGGAAATAGTTTGGCCCCTTGCAGACCCCAAGAGCCTGCTCCCACCGCAGCAGCAGCAGAGGCCCTGCAGGCACCGTGGACCAACTGCTCCTCCCTCCCCTCCTCCCTGCCGGGCAAAAGCTTCCTTGGGAAACTCCTGCTTTTAGGCTGCTCAAGTCTCCTGCTGAGCCTCATGGGGAAACTGAGGCGTGGGTTTGCACTGTGTTGCACAGGGACATGCTGGGCTCTGCCTGCTGAGCACCATCCTGCAGGACACCTCTGCTGCAGAGCACCCTCTGGCTTCAGTCTTATAGATCTGAGACCTGCTTCAGGAGACATCAGTGTGACGAGGGACTTGGGATCCTCCTCAGCAGCCTCCTCTGCCCCAAGGGAAATAGCCCCAGTGGGACATACCCAGTACTGACCCAACCAGCCATCCCTCAAACACGACCACTTTCTGCTCTGACAGCAGCACCCACTTCCCACCAGCTTGCTGGTATATCGAGCTCTCAGATTGAGCTGCCCTTCCTGCCTCTCACATCAGGAGACCCTAATTTTGGGTGCAGCAGAAGGAGGGTCACAACTTGCCTCACTCAGTGCTGCGCCCAAGGGGACCAATGCCTCGTGAGGTTCCCAGCAGTGCTTGAGATCCAGAGGTCCATCTCCTCTCACGGTCCTGGCTGTTTCATCGACTGCCTCCCCGTTTCTGCTTTGAGGTGCATCACAAATAAGTGGTCCTCACCTGCCCTTTCCAGCACATGGTGTTGGTGACACAACTGTCACCTCCCAGCCAGCACAAACTTTTCGGGTCTCCCTACTGAGTGTGGCTGAGCTCTGATCACAAGGTGTCAGGGCTTGGGTCTTGGTCCCACAGGATTGTCTCCAAGTGTATCTCTTGGCTTCCAGAAT